ATTGAAGCAACTGCCATGTGATTGGTTGATTAGATAATTGCATTAATGAGAAATTGAACAGGTGTTCCTAATAATCCTTTAGGTGAGTGTATAGTTATTACACTAAAGGTACACAAAAGCAAAGCCTGAGGGCTTTTACCTTTCAGCAAATAGGATAATTTTATAGCCTTTCCTTAAAACTAGTCACTGCAACACAGATTTTTGTGGCTTCTAGCTAATTATGCTTCCTGACTGCCAAACACAGGCAGGAGCTGAGCAATCAAAACCCAACCTTTTAAGTGAATTAGAGATGAAGTGAAGACAGTAATAGGATTCAGCCATAACAGCTCGATATTATTATACTTGCAAAAAGGGAATACTGCAAAAGCAACCAGTTGTTTCACCTTTGTGTGAAATAAAATCACTTGTCATTGCTATGTAAAAATAACTCCTTCAGTGAACTGTGTTATGTTATAAAAATGCCTGTCCACTAGAGGGCACTGCCTCTAGGATTATTTACAGACGTGGCCGAAGGTTTTGAGAATGAGTATTGATTTGAGAATGACATAAGTATTGAGTCTGCTGCTTCAATGTTCGTAGATCTCTTTGTCAGATGTTTCTATGGTATACTGAAGTATAATTACAAGCATTTCATAAGTGTCAAAGGCTTTTACTGACAATTACATTAAGGTTATACAAAGAGTCAATATTTGCAGTGTTGCAGTGTCTTTTTCAAGACCTCTGCAATTCACCCTGGCTGTCGTCAATCAACTTCTGGGCCAAATCCTGACTGATGGCAGCCCATTCTTGCATAATCAATGTTTGGAGTTTGTCAGAATTTGTGGGTTTTTGTTTGTCTACCCGCCTCTTGAGGATTGACCCCAAGTTCTCAATGGGATTAAGGTCTGGGAAGTTTCCTGGCCAGGGACCCAAAATCTCGATGTTTTGTTCCCCGAGCCACTTAGTTATCACTTTTGCCTTATGGCATGGAGCTCAATCATGCTGGAAAAGGCAACCCCACACATGAATGGTCTCAGGATGCTTTACTGTTGGCACGACACAGGACTGATGGTAGTGCTCACCTTTTCTTCTCTGGACAGATTTTTTTCTGGATGCATCAAAGAAAGGAGATTCACCAGAGAACATGACTTTACCCCAGTCCTCAGCAGTCCAATCCCTGTACCTTTTCCAGAATATCAGTCTGTCCCTGATGTTTTTCTTGGAGAGAAGTGGCTTCTTTGCTGCCCTTCTTGACACCAGATCATCGTCCAAAAGTCTTCGCCTCACTGTGCGTGCAGATGCACTCACACCTGCCTGCTGCCATTCCTGAGCAAGCTCTGCACTGGTGGTGCCTCGATCCCGCAGCTAAATCAACTTTAGGAGACGGTCCTGGCGCTTGCTGGACTTTCTTGGGCTCCCTGAAGCCACCCTTAGAGCAATTCAACCACTCTCCTTGAAGTTCTCGAGGATCCGATAAATGATTGATTTAGGTGAAGTCTAACTACCAGCAATATCCTTGCCTGTGAAGCTCTTTTTGTGCAAAGCAGTGATGACTGCAGATGTTTCTTTGCAGGTAACCGTGGTTAACAGAGGAAGAACAATGATTTCAAGCACCACCCTCCTTTTAAAGGACCCAGTCTGCTATTCTAACTCAATCAGCATGACAGAGTGATCTCCAGCCTTGTCCTCATCAACTTTAGTGCTATCGGTCCATCTAGGTGGTCCTGCTGGGAGTTGCTTAGTTTTGGAGATATTGGCCATAGAAATGGCCGGGCTTCTCTGGAATATAAAGGGAGTGAATGGCATTCTTTCTGTGGTGATTAAAGCCCCAGAAAAATACATTTAAAAAAATCAGCAGCAACGTCTCTTACCAGAAATTATGACCCAGTTCAAGATAATCCACAAACTTTGTAGTGAGCAGTTTAATGTAGGAACTATTTTTTTATATCAAGCTCCACACACCAATTGTGTCACTCCGCAGAAGATACGAGCACAAGCACCCCGGCGATATCTCCTGTAGTTTAAAAAAATAATTCAGGATAAGATAATAAAATCTCACTCTGCATCGGAAAGACAATAAACAGAAAAGCCTGCACTGTGCTGCTCAGTGTTCATCACGAGGGCTGCACATGGCCTTTGGCTACGTGCCACAGGAGCTGCGTTGGGAGTCATACTGGAAGGCAGTACTGGAGTGCTTAGGGACTGGTTTTATTGACCATTTCTGTGGTTAAAATCTCAGAAGGTAAAGCGTCGCTGTGCAAATAGGTAAGCAATGCAAGCTTTGAATATAAAAAAACCCCTCAGTATAAATAATGCACAGTAATGGAATGAAGGGTGGAGCAAAGTACTGGAATCTGGCTGCTCTGTTTAATGAGGCCTCTGTTGGTGCTGTGAAGAAGAAAGATGAGAGAGGGGTGGTGACTTCAGGGAGCCGGGGCGCTCGGGGCTGAGCGGGCTATGAAATTTGCAACAGGCAGTGTAGGGAGGCCGCTGAGCTGCGTGTGAGGCAGGGTCCTCCGTGTTTCCAGTGAGGAGGATAAACATGGAACGTTTCCAGCAGACATACTTTGCGGTATTAACCAAAATGGTAATAGGACCATTACCGAGCGATAAAATATGTCCAAACACATCCATTTCTCAGCGTGTCCTCATTAAGCTCCACTGAAATAGCTGACTCTGTGCAGGAAGAACATAAACTCTGAGTTTCTGTTGCAATTATATAAATAATGCCCCCCCTGCTTTTTAAAACCTTCCTTCAGAAACTGTATATATTATAAAAAACAGAACATTTAAATCCCACAAGTTAAAATTAAAAATCACTGAAACTTTAAACTCTGTCACAGAGTTGCTGTGTTAGCAAGGAAAAATGTTTATGTGCAGTTTTATGACCATATGAAATATTTATCAAACATAAACATAAACCGGCATTTCTGGTTTCATCATTCTATTATTACGATTATGAATCAATATGATGATTTGCTGAAGCAACATGAGGTCACATGGATTATTATTTTAAAAGCGTGTGTGTGTGTGTGTGTGTGTATGAAACTTAACCATACTGTACTTACATACACACCAAACAGTACGGAGGTCTCAGCTCATGTGTGTAGAAGATGTAAATATCTGTCACACTATTACAGCTCACATCTCTAGGCTTTTTACAATGCTTCTTCCTTGCGAGTGGTGGCCTGTTTCAGCAGCCTTGAAGCCCGTCTTAAAAGCAGCGCCTTTAATATGGGTCTAAAAATATCCAGAGAAATCATGTACCGGTGTGGAGAAGGACGCCTGCTGGAGCCAGATTCTCTGTAAGCGAAGGATTCTCTGAAACCTGAACCCATGAAGAAAGTCAGGTTAAAGATTGCCTGCAGGACAGGTAGTGGCAAATGAGGTCAGACAGAGACAGAACATAAGCTCATCCCGACCCCCTGCACCTCTGGAAAGATATATTGATATTTCCATGGGTCTGCTGAGGTAAGGAGGGGCTTCAGTGTTGGGCATGAGAGACTCCTAATCATACCCTTCAGCACCGGTTACAGGAGTTAAAGCAACAGGGTCCCTCTTGCTTCCAATAGCATGATTATGATGCCTGGACTTCACTTTATGGAAATAACGAAAATAGGCCTAATAATATTTTAGCAACACAAAACACATTTTGACCGAGCACCGAGGTACAAAATATCGGCGTGTTTACTGACAGCAATGACGCAGAAAAATCATAAAATATTTATTTGGAACAAAACATACAGAAATCATTCTGGCCTCATTGTAGATTTCATTACCACCGACTGTCGACAGTCAAAGATATATGAATGTAACAAACACAATATTCCTCAAAGAAAATATACTTTGACATTTCTCAGCAAGAACACAAGTCAAGATATTCAAGTACTCAGCAGTATGAAAGTAATCTGAGCTATGGTGTCTTCATACTGTAATGTAAACACCGACACAAACTGTAAACCCCACTAAATAATTCTGAATGATCACAAGAACAAGTCTCAGATTGTCTCATATCTCTAGAGACAGTCATACACAATAGCATTAAGAGCAGATGTACCAGACCAGACCATACAGAGAAACACCTCCAAAACCTCAGAATTCAGATGCTTACAGAACATTCTTGCGTTCCTGGATAAGCTAGATGTCTGAAACAGACACGTTCTTTATTTTTTTCTGGGGATCTCCTCTTCATTAGCTAGCAGAACAAATAATTACCTTTTGTTTTAAAGCTACTGGTTTAAATCATACTTGTGCCATTCCGAAAATCAAATGGAGCTTGTGATGGTATTTGTCTCTACAGTATTTTTTCCCAAAACAGAGTACAACAAATCGGCACAAATGCAATATGGTTTATGCAAAACCATGCTGTTCTGCTGAACAAGTGACTAAACAGTCTGCCTGAAGGTGCGTCTGCTCTCTGATGGATCTGCATCCTCTCTCACGTGTACCCTACACCACGAGTACCCTATACAACGAGTACCCTAAACCATGTGTACCCTACACCACGAGTACCCCATACAAAGAGTACCCTAAACCATGTGTACCCTACACCACGAGTACCCCATACAAAGAGTACCCTAAACCATGTGTACCCTACACCATGAGGACCCCATACGAGTACCCTAAACCACGTGTACCCTACACCACGAGTACACTACTCCACGAGTACCCTGCACCACGTGTGCCCTACACCATGAGTACCCTGTACCAGAAGTACCCTATACCACACACTCTTTTATACCTAGCAATGGGTCACCATTGGGACTAATTCTTCTTTTAAAACTTTCACCAGAAATATCATACCCTCCCTTATTACATTAAAATATACACCTTGTGTAGAGATTAGAAAACACAGAAGTTAGTTCATGTGCCATTTATGTTTCTCCCAAAATGTTTATTATTACACCTGATCCAAACACCTGGTTACAATCTCAGGATTTAAATGGTGTACTAATAAACACTTCTGGCCAAGATTAAGCCGCACTAATCTTTACTTTTCTTCCCCTCAGATTCAAATCATAATTAGAAAGCATAATTAGAAAATGCAACTGGCTTCAGAAAGTAACTGATATACATCACGATGTAAATTAATGGTTTCGATTAGAGATCATCAGCCACAGAAAGAAGGTTTGAGAGCGTGTGAGATTGTTTTTTCATGGCGGTGCTCGAAAGGAGAGGGTGTTCAATGTGATTTATCCAATAAGCAAACCAAGGCTATTATCTTTTGGGGGGGGGGGTGTAATGGCTGTAACATCAAGGCTCATTTTACCAGTAATGGCATCATATGGAACTCTGCAGCAGACCAAAACTGCACTCCTGATGGGAGCAGCCTGACACTGGGAAAGACCCTCTAAGCCATCATTCCACACAGAGGCCGCAGATAAGCAGCCTCAGCGCAGTCGGAGGTCGTGAAAGTTTCACGGTTGCATAGGCAGGAACCGCTTGGCGAGGTGATGCTGTCCTGGTCCCTCTTCTCTTGCAGATCTACCATCTAGCAGGGCCAGTCTTTCCATGGCGAGTGTCTCTAGTGTACAGTACTTACATTTCCTGTACAAAACAGATATACAAAAAAGTGGGTTTTTTTATAGTGGACTTTCAACTTTTGGAACTAGAGTCTGTGTGTGTGCTTTATTGTATATAGGTCCCTGTATTGTGATAAAAACCTCTTATTTTGATGTTGTGGAGATCATTCCATAAAAACCTGTGACTGGAACATAAAAACCTGTGACTGGAAAATATTATAAAACATTCTTTAAAATTACTCTCATGTCTATTATGTTTGGTTACTTATGGTTAATCGTTGGGCTGGGTAGGTTTGTTTGTGTGTGTGTGTGTGTGTGTGTGGTACACTGGCATCCCATCCTGGGTGTTCTCCTGCCTTGTAGGCTGCCTGTACAGGATAAGTGGTTTGATGGATGGATGGATGGATGGATGGATGAGATTGCCTAAATAAAACTGTATCTCTCTACAGTGTGACAGTGTGCAGTGCTGTAGCCTGAGTGTGTGTTCCACGCCCTTAGCTCTGCATGTGTCATTCCCATTTGCGTAACGTTCCTCCTGACTGCACGCCCTCCAGTGCACTGGCACTCTGTTCAGAGTGTCCCCATCCTGAGTTTGTTGGGATGGGCTCCAGGTTCACCAGGAACCTGCACTGGGTACGTGGTTCTGGCAGATAGATTTCTAATTCTTCATAAGGTTTCAAAGTAAGATAATGCCTTCCACATTTTTTACCTGCTCAAAGCCAGAAATATCCCTTACTTGCCGGACACAATACATTTTAATGAAATTAATCAATGACAGGCTAGGCAGCTTGCCAAGGTGCACACTGCAAGAATTTCATGCCTCAGTGCCTCTGATGTGTCCTCCGGAACGTCTTTCAATGTGGTGACAGAGGCGCCAGAGGCGTCCCGTATCGACTGGTCACATGTACAGCATGTGTGTGATGTGTACGA